GTGCCTCTCAGTTCAGGGCGAGGTCACGCTTCAAGTATCTTATGGAGTACCTACGGGTCATAATCACATGCCATATAGTATCTAGGATTACATGTATCAATCAAGTATCATGAAAGGAGTCACCGGCAGGTTCTGGTGGCAATCCAGAGCAGACGAACCTCATCACGTAGTAGTAATCTGGGCGAATTAGGAAGCGTGTTCATTAAAATTCTATACGATGAATATTATCCTTTCTCTATACGCTTGCACTTCGCAACTGCTCTCACTGCACACTGTCGCTCTAGCTGCTAAAAAGGACTACCATGGATATTTCAGTCCAACCATGGATATTTCAGTCAACTACGTAATCCAATCATCAATTTCTTCCGCATTCCATGAATGTGCTGAGCATTTTTTTATTGTTCGAAATAATAACCTCATGTTTAGCGAGCTATTCTGCATGTTTGATCACATCTTCTCCTATAGCGAAAGTCCCCTGTGCTGACAACACACATATACCGTGTACCTGTGTCTATATGCTTCCGTAGAAATTTGTACGATGACAACATTGTCTTAACGAGAACCGACCTTGCACTGGCTGCTACATGCGGATTCTATAGTCTATACTCTATAGTCTACGGAAAACTTCTCTGACAATCCTGCATCAAAAACCTGACAATCCTGCATCAATAAATAGCATCACCTATTAAGTATTTCACCGAATCTGAACAAAAATTTAGTGAATTTATATGCGATGGTGTCTAAACCACGCTAGAAGGTATCCCTTATAGCCTTAGACAAAGTTTTGAGCGTGTTCGAGCTCAACACGATTTCGGCTGTGTGGAAGTGTGGCGCCATTTTTTTTGCTTTAATTGTAGATGTTTCTTTTCGAAGTACTAACAATGTTTTTTTTAAATACTAACTTAGCTAAATTGACTGCTTTGCCACGCACTTGATGCGAGAGTCAGGTTGCTTATCAATGTAGAAAGATTGCTCCAGGTAGGCTTATGAAGCAACTGATTCGTGGTCGTGAACGAAGTCGTCAAATAGAGTGTCCTGTCTGCATAGCCCTCCACCTCGCATATTCGACGGCTGAAACTAGTTGGGATCGCTTCACATTTGAGTGTTTGTATTAATATATGTAGATGTAGCCATCTTATAACATATTCTTTCCATTTTTGTATTAGTTACGCGTAATGTCAGTTTTTAATTCGCGCTGGATTCTACTCGAATCTCGATGTAATACTGTTAAAATTGATTTAACGCAGGTGCCTAGTTAATTCGCAGTTGAAGGAAGAATATGCAAGTGGATAGATCTCAGCGCTCAGTATTTGGTGAGACATTTACATTCTTCCTTGTGTTCCCATAATTCCACTTTTTCTTCAGTGGGAAACATCTCATATGAAGTGCCCGAGGAGACAATACGTCAGATTTTTTCGAAGGTGGGTTTTTCGAACATGTATGCGGAGATAAGAGCTGGGAAGGTTTGTCAAAATGAGCATATTTAGGTGGGACATGTCGTCCATATCAAAATGGTCCATGACCGTGAAACTGGCAAGCCCAAGGGTTATGGGTTCATCGAGTTTCTTGACGTACAGACTGCTGAACTGGCCATCAGGAATTTAAACGGGTAAGCACCAAGTTCGCCTTCCTGTAATAAAACTATCCATTATATGGAACGCTGGAGAATAGGAGCGTTAACTGGTACTCAAGAGTTAGTTATA